GAGATACTTGATAAAACTATGTTTATAAAATATACTGTTACCATGGTGTATTTGATACGTTCGAATTATAATTATTTATTTAATTTGCTCATATTAAAACAAATAATAATTATATGTGTGTATGTATATTTTATTGTATATTATTAATATTATATTACACGCAATGTGCGAATTATTATACTTATTTTTCTTAAAGATCCTCGAGGGCTCGCTATACCTAAAGCTGCCCTCGCCAATAAGATCAAGGTCGTACTACGGATGTTAAGTTTAGAGATAAGCTAGGAATTTTGCAAGTCACACTTACCTACGAGCAGTAAAATGATGTTGTATTATTCGATGTGATTCAATCGATTACATTGAACTTTGGACAACTGAGACCCTGATTAGATTACTTATGTTTTGTGAAATACATCGCGAGCGTGGGTTGTGTGATTTGTTAGCTTGGGTGATTTTTTTCTATGCTTTTTTGGCACCCATCAGATGATCGTATTCTATTTAAAAAACTGGCAAAACGTATAACAGGACAATGTTAAATTTGGCCTAAGAACCAACAGAAGTTTGACATTTATGATAATTTTTAATATATTTTTTGTGATAATTTATAAATATTTAGATTGTGACAGACACTTTCAGTTCAATAATAAAGTTAAAAAGTACTTTTATGATAGTATAGTATACAGCACAGATGTGTTCTGTACGTCGTACAAAAAAAATACGTTTAAGTACTTTTTAACTTGTCCTTTCTAACCCCATCGTAGCCTAACCATACAATGTAGGCAAATTATTTGCTACCTTATTACAATAAGAATACCAGCCCCCAGACTTGGAGACAATAGTATTTTTATTAAATTAGAATGTATGTCTTCTCTCTACTATATACATTTTTAACTCCTCCATTATAATGTAACCCTTAAAACATAAAATAAACTAGATATCTACGTATCTAGTTTATTTTATTACGTCGTTTTAGTAAAAAAAAATCGAGATTTTATAAATAGCCTGAATGTGGAATGAAAACCCATGATTTGTTCCCATGAGTTCATCGAATCACAAATAAATAATGCCATTTGTGTGATGTGAACTTTATTAATAAAAGGATGAGTGTGGTATTCGGCTGTTAGTTTGACTTGTGGTTCACAGTCCGTCGATACGGCTACGTAGAAAGAGAGAAGTAAAGGAAGGCTTTCTAAAGTAAATAAACACTTTCTAAAAGTCGACACATAGCGGCGTGCATTGTTGTGAGTATTTCGAGTCATCCTTCGCCTTTTTAAGTTGTATTGCTTTTATTGACTCATGTATCCTTCTTCTACAGTTATAGGTATTTAACAAATGCTGACGATGCTTCTTGTGATAAGCTATCACCATGCCATGACACGATAAAATATGTGATCATTGCCGACCCTGTAGAAACTTAAACCATGATGCAGCAGAAATATTTGCCGCCAGCTATTCTCATTTTACAAGTCTCATCTGGTCTCATCTGGTCTCATCTCTAAAGTAAACGCAGAAACAGACTATTGTGTCGTGTTGTGTCGTTGGTGTTGCAGCGCTGGCCTTACCATACAATGTATGTAACTATAGTCTCTTGACGCGTCACAGATTATTGCGACGTGTTGTGTATACGTCACAAGAGTCTTTGTCTGCAATGACTTAGCAAATTTCTTTGCGCCAACTCCGTAACTCCAGTGCTTTATGGTTGCGCCGGCTAATTGCGACAATTTTTTGCTGCGTCATACTGCAATTTTGGGCTGCAATTAATCTGTAAAAGAAAGCACGTTTCAATTAAGCTACTTGTCATTTTCTAGTTTAAGATCCCCTGAGGATCTCGCTTCCTCAAGTCCGGTGAAAAAGGTCAACTGTGACCAACAGCATAACACTCCAATAAACGTATATAAATTCAGCTCTGTGTTACCTCTTCGTAAGTTAATGGCCTGGTGATACCGCAAGGTGTCAAGGTGACACGAGAATATTGGTAAAGGCGTCGTAAGCACGCAGACTTGCCTCATGGTCTGCAATCAGCATGCGAGAGGCATCGCGCATGCGTGATCCGACCATAAACCATAAACGGGACTGCTATGAGATTCGATCGTTTGCGAAAATTACGATTGGCTATTCTATTCTTTTTTGTGGGCTGAGTCTGCCAATGTCTAATGGTAGGTCATTTCATCAAAGTGAAATAATATACACTGTCTTTTGTAGCACCCGTCCGGAGAATTAGGGTGGAGGGGTGATTATACCTCAATGAAGAACACAGTGAAATAAAACTACCTGTTGTGTTTCTATCGGTGAAGGTTTCTAGGACTGTGGCAGACAGGGCATTGGGTTCAGGCTGGCAAGGTGGGGATTGCTGGAGCGGCACATTTTTCTGCAAGCGTCAAGATGACGGATAGCTACACTCATCATCATCATTATCATCAGCCTAGTAATGTCCCCACTGGGGCACAGGCCTTCTCTATGGATGGAATAGGGATATTGGGCCATGACCCACCACGCAGGCCCAGCGCGGATTGGTGATAGCTACACTGTATAGTCTTATTTAGCGCTGGATTGGTGGCCAAGAACGGCTTCTTGTTTGCTTCTATTTGCTTCCTGTCATGCGGATTTTGCTTCGGTTATATTTTACGAATATTGATTTCTGATTTGATTTCGTACTTTGCTGACAGATCGATATCGAATATCGATATATAATAATCGATCGATAGGAATTTGTGAACTGTACACACGTGTCTCAGTTTAGTTGTCAGCGTAACATCGTTCGGCGCTGATGGTCTGGATGTACCATTACCGCCGACGAGTCTGCTTTTCCAGCCTTAGGTGACCTTGGGCCCGACGTCAGGATGGTTGCACTTTTTCAGCCTTCGTAACTATACTCCACTTACCAAAGGCGGCTTTAACTATGGTGCAGAGTGTGCGTGCTCACGGGCGCAGCGGGCACCAAGTTCACTCAGAATTCGCCATTTTGACTGAGCGCTTCCTAAAGAGCGCTAGGTTAATGATTGTACACGAGCGCTACAATGGCTACAAGCTCCCACTCATACTAACATCTGACTGATGTATCTGTAAAATATGTTCATATTTTAATATCATGTTATGCCCTGTGGCTGGCAACTACAGGTTCAGCACATGAGACAAATAAATTAAACATTGTTATTGCAAAATCTGAGCAGTTATCATTAATGACATGGGATGTAATGTAACTCTTCTTTTATTATATAATATGTTACACGCGCATTAGCTATTGTATTAGCTTCCCATCCATTGAAACGCTATTGTCACGTGTGAATGGTTAAGTTCAATTTTATAGGCATCGCAATATCTCATTACATTGTAGGTTTGTTATCTTGATGTTGGGAAATCTCTTCGGAGAACAGATGGTAGGGATTTGACAGAGCTGTGAGTGTTTTCACTATTTTTATGCTAAGTTAATTGTAATTCAATATAATTTTATATATGAATTAACATTCTGTCTACTGCTAGTAACTTATAAAAAGGGAGTTGGAAAATAATATTTATTCACCATCTTATAGCATCATTATTAATTATATTTAAATTATTATAGGTTTTATTAAAAATGGTTTACCAAATTTAAGCGGACAATCTTCATACATACGTTAATTTAAATTTAATAAAAAACTTGTAATAAATGGCTTATTATTATTAATTATAAAAAATACAGGGTCGGACTTTACGCCATTCCTGATACAAAAGGTCACTATAATTGCAATAATTATTCCGCTCAACTTCTACTTATTGTGATACCATTAATGCAACGAAGATCATTTATGCGTGTTTTCCGTGATTTAACATTGATGTTAATGATTTTATACGTGTTTGTGATTTTAGCTGCACGTACTTTAGTACTTTGCTACAGGACTAGCTCCTTCACTTTCAGTGCAGTTCACTTATCTTAAAGAGATAGACAGTGGATTGTATAAGAATTTTAGCTTTTATTATTAGGAACACAAAAGTAAGAGTTTATACTTTACTTCTTTTAACTACACACATCATTCAATTAAATTGGTAGTAGTGTGTATGTAGCACATAAAAGTTCACTCCCAGCTTAGAATGGTGAAGATATTTTTTTCTGTCGAAATGTATGGTTGTAACACGAAGCAAATACAAATGATTAATTTCTGTACGATTCCATATTTACGGAAGAATTTATATAATATAGTACTTGTCGCCCATTTGAAAACTTGTGACAAGGCCGTTCGCATCACAATTTGGAAGCTATAATGGTCAATATTAACAAGTGGGTGGGCACGTATGCAAATTAAGTACAGAGTAGGTGATCATCGATTCCTTTTTTATTTTCGATTCGTGTATAAAGCAAAAGTTGGTAGTTTAAAATTGACATTTTCTATAGATAGGTGTTACTAGCTTCTGTCCTTTATTTTAGGCCGCGTTTACTTTGAAATATGGTTTAGAGTCCAGACCCTGGAACTAGTACATAGAGAAAACTATCTAGGATTTTGCTATGTACTTCGTCAATGGTTTAGAGCGTAAATCAACATTTATTTGTAATTGATATTATTATAAAAAATTACATCAGTACAGCTGGCGATTACAGCAAAAAATATTTAATAAAAAACAAGAACTATTTTGATTCCAAAAAATTTTACTAGAAAAAGATCCACGCGGACCAGACAGCACACGGGCTCGAACCCGCATCCTTCGCTATTCGGGCGAATGCACTGACCATTATGCTACCGCGGCCCTGATAGCCGTCGAATTTTCTGTAGTATTACTTATGCAGCACCATCTCTTCGCATTTGTAGGTAACACACAATGTCAAATGAATACCTTTACAAGTATTCAACATTTGATAATGGACTGCGTGGAATTTTTTCTAGTAAAATTTACTTTAGATTTAAACATCCAGCAGTTATATCTTAAAAAAATAAAATATAACTATTTTGATGTTACCTACTTATCGTATTTTTTTACACAAAATTAATGTTGTTTGAGTGCAGTATTAAAAACAAATGTCATTGTTGCAGATAAAAATGGAGAAGCCAACTGATTTGAGATCAGAAAGAGTGAAGCAGATGTTCAGTTGGACTACGGGGTAAGTTGATTTTTATATTTACTGCAATATTAAACTAGCCGTGATATTATAATACCTACATCACCTGCATAACATACTATTAAATATTTAATGGGTTGATTTTTAATTCTCGGTGGAATGATTACAAATCTGCCGAATAAATGATTACCCAATCATAATAAAGCTCACATCCGTCACATAAAAAATAACTTTTGTGACAAAGTAACACAACTCTTTCTCCCTTATTTATAAACGAGGAATAAGCTTAGACTACTTACACCGTGTTTTGTTCATATCACTCAAAAGCCATTTGTCAGTCATTGTACAAAGACAAAACATGGAGTAACTAATTCAAGCCTATTCTTTGTTTATTTATAAGGGGTATAAATATAGACGATGAAATTATAAACAGAGATTGAAATAGCAGCCCATATATTATTTATATTTATATTTATATAAGTAGATCATTAGCGACACAGCTCATTAGAGCCACCCGGCACTGCCTAGTCACGCGACGTCCGCTCGTGGTTGACGAGCAAACTCAGGTGGACGCCGCTATGTCAACCAGCCAACGTCGGGTGGGCCATGGGTGGACGCCTCGTTGTTAACCAGCCAACGTCGGGTGGGCCATGGGTGGACGCCTCGTTGTCAAAACAAGTCGAACGCGCCGCGCGCCACCGCGTTGTTAATTCCGCGTTGTCTGCGAAAATTAAGTATTATGTTAGTAATCGTCACTAGGTTTAAAGTGTGTTTTACAAACTTTAATTTTACATTCAGTGATAATTGCTATAATAGCTGTCGTGCTTGATAAAGCAGAAAATGAAATGCGTTGTCAACTCGCAGGCAGCTCGTGGTTCTTTCAGAAGCAGCGCATTTACAACCTGCGGCCAGCACACTGCAAGCGTGCGAGCAACGGGTGGTCACCGAGTTGTCCACCCGCCGGTGACGGTACAGAGCTGATGTAGTAAGCGTAAACCCATAGAAATCCACACAAAGATTATCAACCACATGAGTTGAGACGGTGCTGGTCGGTGGGCCATTCGCCTTAGGGGATTGCTATGGCTATCGCTATCGCTTACGATTTCATTTTGTTATTTCTCTTTTTTCTTTTGTATTGGTAACAACAATATTAAAGACAATGAGCGAAAGGTATTTGAAAACCTTCGGAGGTCAGAAATAACAAAATAAATCGTAAGCGATAGCGATACCCAGAGCAATTCCGTTAGGCGATTGTGCCCTAGGTGCCGGGTGGAGCTAATGAGCTGCGATAGCGCAGCACATTAGACCCACCTTTCTGTCAGTTCAATACTACACTGTTCAATACTATACTACTTAACTGAATATATATCATATAAGATCATATCGGAGCTGTGACAAGCCCAGCATCAACAGTCTCACATAACATCCTCCGGTGATGCAACCATTACGAGATCTCGGCTGACCTGTCTCATGATGTAAGAGCTACTTTCCAGTACAGCCGAGAGGTCGATGAGCAAGCCCAATAACCTAGTTGTCTTTAAATTGATAAGCGATTATGCGCCTTATTAAAATTTTTTAATCATCACGCCCTTTTTCGCTCGCTTCTTGTGAAGTAGGTACAAGAATAAGTTCCACTTTATCTGATGTTAACTAAGAATGGACTCCAGTTAGAAAGATAAGTGACGAGGGAGAAAAATATAAAAGTGTGCCGCTAAAGCTACCCTAAATGGCCGGCCTTAATCTTGTTCCATTTTAGCCGAGCTTTGACAATATCGCTGTAGAATAGTGTTGTTAGACTCGATTTTTTTCAAACCATGGGTCTCCACATGATAGCTCAACGTGAGCTCTGATCTAACTCTCTTTTGATTAGCACCAATCTTCTAAAGTGGCGCCACCTGTAGTGAACACAGGACTGAAATAAACTATTGTGTTACTGCCATCTAGTATGCGCGTGAAGAAGTAATAAGTCTACTCGCATGATAATTTTATTTATGATTGTAGCGCGTTGTCGCTTTATCGCAATAGATGGCGTGAGTAGTCATCAAACTTGAATTTAATAATTACTGTGTTGTGTTTTAAAACCACAATGGAAGGGTATTTAGTAACTTAGTTGGAAATTATTCTTACTTAATTATTACGCGCACATCTGTAATGAGAAGTGAGTACATTAATTTCTATGGGCTACGACAAGACAGAAATAACCTTGTGCATCACAAATTAAACTTTAGAATATTTAAAGATTTGATGACACAATCTCAAAAAGGAAAGACCACATTAACCCGTTTTTATATTTTATTTTCGTCTGCATATATATTAGGTATGATTTTTATATCAGCTTCGTATTAGTATGAGGTAAAGTATAACAGACAGACACTGTGATTTAATATAGCAACAACATTTTACGAATAACAAAAAATAAAATAAAAAATAGTTATATTTATTATACGGCAAAATAATAAACCACCTAGAATTTTGTAATACTTTGTACTCCAAAGTATTTTTAACTCTACGTGTATAAATTTATGATTTATTTTCTATGGTTCATGGATACAAGTAATATTAAAGACTTTTTAAAGAAAAGGACACTTTATTTGGACTACGTCAGTGTTTTGTTTTTTGCTATCCGGCTCTTTCAGAACATCCGCTGGACGGTGTTTTGAAAGATCCTATTTGATTTTGTTTTTGTATTGTTCGAGTCCCAGGCTCAGTAATTTAATATTTCATAATGTAATCTTTATTATATAGGTACAATGTATTAGTACGCAGTCATAGAAAGAAAAAATCAATAACTTCTAAAGAAAATTTTACTAAAATAGTTTCATGCGGTCTCTGGTCTCAGACGGGATTTTTTCCAGGTTTCAGGCGGGATTGGACCAAAATATTTTTTCTAGTAATTTTTTTTTAGGTTTTAACATTTAGTAGTTAAATGCTTGAAACAAAAATATAATAATCCTTCCCTTCTGGAAAAGCAATCGTCGCTTTTTTTTTGAGAACATTACACAACCTTTCGATTGTGATAGTTCCACGATGCTACCGCGAATACTAACGGCAACGGCTTCTGAGACGCGCTAACGTTACGCTTTTATAAAAAGTATACAAGCACTTAAAAAGATCGGCAGTTATATCGTATCATTAAGGGGAAATAGGGATTGATTTTGAGTTTGACACGCAGTTTAGATTAGCATATTGATTTAGGTATTTTAGTTAGAGATACATAGATTGATATCACTGGTTTTTCTAATTTCCGATATAGAAAATAAAGACTCCTGCCCAAATATATTGTGGAAACTACAGACGTCAGGCAGCTACGGAATCCTACACTGGCAGGTTTTTAAGTTATATCCTATTTAAGAGGTTGTAGTGTATGGCTGAATTACACTTGATTTGGAGCGCCCTTCTGGAAAAGCAACCGTCGCTTGACGTAGTAGTTGATGTAGTGAGAACACTACATAACCTTTCGATTGTGTTCACATTTTGTACTTGTACATAACATCGGATAAAAAAGTTGTTGAACTTTTTTGTTAATAATTTCGCTTTAAGATAAATCCAAAGTCGTCATGTATTGTATTCCATTCCTTTTCTCAGAGTGTTTGGCACGAAATATAATCGAGCCAGCTTTCTCGATATATAAGCTTCTGTGAGGACTACAATAAAGTTCCCACGTCCACTTGGTCAAAATAATGTAGGTATATTTTAAAGATACCAATAATTCATCAGTTACCCAGATGGTTTTAATGCAAAATTTTACATCAAAGTTTTATCTAAAAATTAATTAGAGAATAATTAAATAAGACCCCAACCGCACTCGATCAAGTAGCGCCAAAAACTCGTTGGAGATTTTTTAAACTATTTTAAATAAAAGCGTGTCAAACAAGCACCTCCAGTCACCACCACCTTTCATAGTAAATTAGCAATATGAAGGAGCACATCCCTCATTATTATGTACACTGTTTGAATTTATACTTTATGACACAGCGATCAAAATGTGAGTGGACGTTGTATTGATAGCGACATGTTTTTTGTAATTGTTGTTACTTCTGTTAAATGCTGATGAGTTTCTTGCGCCCATTCTTCTTATCAGCTAAAAGGTGTCCTGAATGGGTGGTTAAAAATACAGGACGATTCAAAAGAGCTTTCAATAAGTCAATTTGAATAAAGTAAAGCTCGAAGGCGCGGGTGGTTAGCGCGTTCGGCTGCGATGGTTGAAGTTAAGCAACGTTCGCAGTGGTCGGTCAATGGATGGGTGATCAAAAATCTTCTATCTCGAGTTCCCCCGTGCTTCGGAAGGCACGTTAAGCCGTTGGTCCCGGCTGCATCTGCAGTCGTTACCACCCGCGAATCCGCACTGGGCCCGCGTGGTGGGTCATGGCCCAATCTACCTATTCCAACCATAGGGAAGGCCTTGTGCCCCAGCAGTGGGGACATTAATAGGTTGATGATGATGATAGTAATTTCATTTCGTTTTCCTTTCCCGTGGAACTTTACTAAAGAATGAAGATGCTTCCCCAGACATAGACTTATTTTCAAGCAAATAATTACCTTTGCCATCCTCATAAAGCTTTTTATAAAGATTTTTTTGTATCAATAAAAACTACATTATGCTATTAGCAGTCTACGTGTCTTACAACTTTTTGCTGTGCTAATGTCATTATTTTAAATATTACGGCTTAGTTTTTGTAGTTTTTAAAAATAAGGCACCATCCAAAGAAAACGAAATTTCCATGAAAACCTGATGGCGCGTAAAATTGATATCCATCATAGCTACGATTTTGTGCCACGATCATGCTCAATTCTAGGGATATTTTTAAATATCAAATTGGTTATATCTTTCTTAATAAATATTACGTTCCTCGTTGAAGAGCGAAAGAAAAGACTGTGTCAGCTTTTACACTTTTTTCGCACAGATAGTAAAAGGTTCTCAATAAAAAAAACTAAGTTCGTCTTTATGAACAATAATTATTCCCTTACTAATAAATGTATTTAACCTAATAATAACTATTATTATTTTAACAACCTACTAAAAAAATACTATTTAAACGAAT